CCCCCTCTGAGAGCGCCGCCCACCCCCGGCTCCCAGCCAGCCACTCACGGGGACGGCAGGGGGGTATCGATCTGGGGCAGCGGGGGGGGACTAATCCCTTTGCATTTTGCTTGTTTTGTTGGGTTTTTTACCTTCCTTCACGCATTATATCGCCTCTATCTTAACCCACATATTTTCTCTCATTTTCTCTTTCAATTCTCCCCAGCCCCGGTGAGCGGACGGAGCAGCCGTCTGGGGACTTCACTGGGGTCAGCCCCAGTGGAAGTGCAGAGCCCAGTGCCAGGACCTCAAGCTGCAGCGTTACACTTTGTCATGGTCCATTAGTCCCAGGGGCTCAGCTAACTCTTCATAAGGACAACTCCATAAAAGAAGGGGCTCCCAAATTATAACTAGCAATAGAGTCAGTATTTATATGATCAAGAGGACCACAGCAGGCACCAGCAGGCATAAAAAAACCACAACAGGATACAACCTTGCATTTTTGTGCTCCTTGAAGTCACTTCTCTGCAGCCATTTATTTGAGTTTTCCTTTAGATCTTAAAAACTAACAGAAGCCCCACAATCTGATGCCTGTTACAATAGCAGAACTGGTTCACCTTAGAAGCATCAGACACTGGAAAACTGCTCCATCAGACATTTCCCTTGGTGTTTCTGAAGTCCATGTCAGAAGATGTAGAGTGGTTGATCTTCCTCCTTTGCTACCTCCACAGGTTATATTCCTTCCATTAACCTAATCTGGCAAAACATATTCCAGGCATCATCAGTTGTTAAGCAGTGCTTTAAGCTGCACAGGCTTTGGTCTTTACTCTGCTGAGATGGTAGCCAAATTCTTTTCCCCACTGTGCTCCACTCAAGTACCAAAAGCAACAGAGACAATGGTAGGGAGAAGAGAACAGGGCAGTGGTGGTAGAGGGAACAAAAATTAAATGGAAGGCCTGCATAGCAATGGGTTTATGTACATACTAAAAATATTAAAAGGCATTGGATCCAGTCAAGAATGCTAGCTCCTACTCATTTGTTGTTCTTCTGAAGTCTGTAAAAGTAGCAGTTTCTTTTTCCGATATTCTTCATTCTCCTGCTCTGCTTCGTCATCCACAGATTTTCTTATACGTGCTTTCAGTTCCTCAATTCCTTCTCCAGTATATGTAGATACAGGAATTATATCTTTGAATTCAAGTGTTTTTGCAGGAATCATTTCTTCCTCTAGTAAGTGTAAGAAGTCTGAAAAATCATACTGAAAGATTTAGTACAATCCCCAAATACTGTATCACTACAAAGCCCATAAAATTCCATTAAATTCAGAAAATAAACCTCAATAAATCAGAGTAATAAATGTAAATGCAATTAATAGAGAAGTATTATTCTCTTAATTAATCTTTAAAAACAGTTTCAGTCTCAGAAAGACAAGCACTAACATAGGAGTTATACCATACTTATGCTCTCAAGGAAAAAATCTATTCCTTTAAGATTAGTACAAAGAAATGCCAAGTTCTGGAACTGGGAGAGAGACAGTTTTAAGCCTTCCTGATCCTTATGCACTCCAGTAAATAGGAAGAAATTCAACCAAATGTAATTGCAAAATTGAAGGAAACCGACATAGGCCCATCCAGAATTTTCATGTTTTGTTTTGTTTTTTTTTTCCAAAGTCACATGATAAATTGTACGTACAGCACTGTCTGTAGGGGGACCTTCAAGGGAGGATACTGTTACCCAAGATACCTAGACTGGTAATTTACTCTCCCATCTCACAGTTGGTTGGGAAAGAACTTCTAGAATAGGTTTTATTAAAATATCTCCCCAACAGTGAAGTCAGCACCACAGATCCATATAAACAGAGCTCCAAATGCAGGAAGCATTTTAAAAACATATGTTCAAATAATAAATTTAACATTTAAGTTTCAAACAACAACTTGCCAATGCAGTTACTCCTGATGAAATCTTATTACTACTTACGTCAAAGGTAATTAATGAAAGTAAACTTACCTTGAGGATTCTGTAGTTGTTTCATGAGTTCATTCAAGTTATTTTTTGCACAAGGCAAATCCATTTTATTAATGGCAAGAAGTGCAGGCTTTGTTAGAAGTTCCTCTTTGTACAGCTCCAATTCCTTAAAAGACAAGTGAATAAGTATTTGTAATTTAACAAGTGCTACTTCAATTTTACATCTCTTTTCTCATTTGTTTAAATTGTCTAAATAGTCTTTCATGCTTAGGCAGCTGTGAGATTTACTCACGTGCTCAAGGTTGTTGTTATTAAAGCACTCTGACAGAATAAATAATGATCAGTGACTCAGTGAGTATTTTTTTTTTAATCAAACAGAGATTTAGGTTAAACAGGCTGGAAGATTCTGAAACATACCCGTATGAAAAGAATGATAGTTTTGTTCAGATCTATAAAACATGTAAGAAAATTATTTGGATCGTTTTCTGATTCGCAAGTATTTTAACATACCATGGCTAATGTATCAGAAATAAAATCATAACTATTAATAAGCTAAAAATAAATAGCAATAGCTGAAATTCAGAAGATTAATAATTTTAAGTCATATAGCTAGAGCAAGAGCTGGTAAACTTGAAATGACATAAAATGTATTATTTTTATGAGAAGCAATAGTAAGAGATGGAAGCACTGCATGTCTGCAAAGCTGGGGCCTGACATCTCATCTCCATTAGGCTATGTGGTAAGGGCATCAAGGCAGGGGTAGAACTACAGCCATATCTTTCTACTTCCTAATATGCTACCAGACCAGGAAACTGAAAATTATGCATCTTTTTACTTTTACTTGACTGTAACAAACATCCCTTATGCTGCACACATTAGTGAAGGAACAGTTGTGCCCAGAATAAAATAGAGCAGTTTCACCTCGACAGGCAAAAAAAAGACTTAATAATTTTGGAGGAGCCTAAGCTTGATACCTGGCCTTTTATCACAGATAGAGAAGACATACTAAGATTTCCAAGTTCTTAATTAAACCTAAATCTCCTCAGCTCAACACATAATCACAACTGTCAATTAGGAAGATGATAACTTACCTTTGTTAAAAGCAATATAGTTTCAAAGGCTGTTCTGAACTGAGTCTTAACAGATAGTTGAAACCCAGAAATATCAACCTGAAAAAGTTGCACAAAAACAAGCTCAGTGATATTAAATTATGTTATGGTACCAAGGTACTCTCCAACAACTACTTTGCAGTAAAACGTCCACATTTATGCCTTCATTCCTGGGCAAATAACAGAGGGCAACTGTAACATCACAGACACTGGAAGCACAAACTGACGCATCCCAAAGTAACATCACAGACACTGGACGCACCAACTAATTAATTCTCATACAGTGTTTCTCAAAGGTCTGATTTGTAAACCTCTTTTTTAAGGGGCTCTTCCAGAAAAGAGAAAAAAATCTCTCTATGCTTTAATTATGCTTGGAACACTTTACTACTCTAAATTATGTGGCAAATTTTAATGATAAACTCTATTTAAGGATTAATTTATCATCAGACTTTCAAGCATTCCATTACGAAAACAGTTATACTTAACATAAAACATGCATATTATAAATTATTTCCTGAATTCCAAGTACACTCCAATTAAGATGTATATTATTTACTGCACTGCCACTTTCATTTCAAAAATCTGTAAATTTTATCTAACTTACAACTAAGAGAAGCTGTCTAGTTCTTTCCACATGTTTGAGAAATTTGTGGCCCATCCCTTTATTTGCATGTGCACCTTCAATCAGTCCTGGGAGATCAGCTACTGAAATCTAGGAAAACAGAAGATTCAAACAAAAGATTTTCAACAAGCAAAAATGGTGATTTTAAACTGTCAGCACCTACTATCACTTTATATAAACAAAAAAACACAGACTAAAGATTGTCAGGAAGATCTGTTTTGAGACTCCCTTTACAACTATGTGTGTTCCTTGGAATCCTGCAGAGCATGAGTTCTCCAGCAGCATGTTTTGACTGTTCCAATACATTTAGAATCCATTATCAGAAGATTTAAACAAAATTCTATTATTATACAGACACTGTGCTCCTCATGTTGCCTGTCTATTTATAGTTGTCTGAAAAGTAGAAAATAGAGGGTAATAATACTTCAGCAGAGATCTTACATAATTTACCTACTACCTGAGATAAAACAGACTCTGAAAGGCAAGAAGTCAGGCTATCATGTTCATATAGATTTCAAACTGTCACTGAAAAAGAAAATAAACCCTGTCTCTCGTGGCTATAGAGGACTATCATTCCAAATGCAAAACCCCCTAACACTGTTTTCCTGAGTGTGAGGAGCTCCAACAATTTGCCTTCTGCCTTCAAATGAAAGGAGATTTTGGATTAGTATATCAGCTTCTAACCAGAGTCCTGCAAAGACTGCCACAATGGACAGGAATCTTGCCATTTTCTCTGCTGGTTGAGACAGAGAAACACAGTTATACACAGAACAGCTGAGACAGGTCAAAAAAGAGCAGAACGCTAAAACCCCCAAATATCTACTCAGTAACTTACAGAAAACTAAGACAGATAATGAAGGAAAGAGCAAAAGCAGGGTCTTCAAATCTAATACCCATTTAGACAGCAACTGGATTCAGTTAAGCAATGCTCAAAGCCAGCACACAATAAAATCTTCAATGTGCTACCTACTGCAGAAAGCGGCTTTCTCCTATGACTGCATACTGGTAAGACTCTCATTTAGCACGGGTTTTCCCCTCAGTTCATACTGAAGAATGGATTCCAGGTATCGCATAATTATCTGGCAACTTTACCTTAAACTGTGTGGAGTTGGGTTCACAAAAAATAAGGTGGAAGGGCAGTAGTTCCACCAGTCCTCCAGAGTTACAGCCTACCACAAAAGGAAGTGGACCCAGGTACCTAACCTCTCAGGTATTGCACTATCCTGGCTGTTCAGGCAATCACTAACACTTCAAACTATTTCAGCTTTTTATTTAAAAAAACCCACCCAACCAACAAAACCCCAAAACAAAACAAAAAACCAAAACAAAACTCTAAACAAAAAACAAACCACAAAAGTAAGTCAGAGCAAGTGAGTAATTTACTAGTGCAGAGCTGCAGCTACTGGACAAATCTGCCTTATTTTAAATCCATTCTGAAAATTACTTTTATTTCAGAGCTCTCTTTATAGCCAACTTGCACAAAACTTGTCTCTTTAAGTAATAAGAGGTGAGTCTCTGAAACAACTATTTTTTTATAGTCCTAAACTTAACACGAGTGTGCTAGGACACAGAAAGCTCAATTCCACACATGAGCTCACAACTCTAAGATTGTAAAACTGGATTAGAATCAGAAATGAGACAAGGGAAAACAAGAAGCCATTTATTACAGTGACTTGAAATCATATTACCATCATATTACTGCAATTGGCTATAAAGCTCTCTTATTACTTTATAAGAAGAGAATGTTCTCCGTAACTTCCATTAGGTCCATATAACTGCATTTTATACGTATACATTATAGGTACACCTATGAAAAAATCTACACGTTTCCTTTTTCTTTCTGAAATTATGTTAAGCAACATGACTGACCCATTACATACGACTTCAATAAACAACCAGAATGAACTTTCATACCTACCTGCTTGTGATCTGCATACATGATTTTTCCTAGTTCAGGCTGTACTGTTGTAACTATGACAAAGGAAAAAAGAGGAGGGGAAAACAACAGATTTTTTTTAACAAAATATTTAAATGTTGCAGGACTTTCTCGCTTCTTATTTAAATTAAACAATGTTCAGCAGTAGAAAAAAATAAGGCAAATGGTATGCTAAGAATTACTGGAAAAGGAGAAAAGAAAAAGCAAAACGAGAGAGAATAAAATTAGACCACTCAAAAATCCAATGGTTTGCCAAATCTTGGCACGTTCTGCAATTCTGTTCCTGTCATGCAAAAAAGGGAATAGAGGGGCTAGAGAAGTCTTGTACGCCAAAAGGATTACCCAGACTATGGAACAGCTTCCAAATAAGGAAAAATAAGGAAAGACAAAGTGAGGCAGGACTCTTCAAATTGGGGAAAAATATAAAAAGGCAGTAGAGAATTGTGAGTAGTGCAAGAAGGTTGGTAGGAATTATCAGTACTTGTACTCTTGCCTTTTCATTAAAGAATGATCAGATGCCTAAAGGTAATTTCCTGGTAGAAAAATAATAAAAATGGCATTTTTCAGTGGACAGATTCAAAACCAACATCTCACCCTGTTGCATGAACAGGTGGTAACTATTTCCAAAGCATACAAGATGCTTATGCAAAGGAACTTGATGGTGCATATTCAGTAGACTGAGGATCTCACACAACATTGATAGTCTCAGATGATGTAAAATGGGCTGCACCTAAAATAAATGCTAAATAGATCCCCCTGCATCTATATGTTGAAACACGATGAGGATGTACACATGAAAATCAGACGTGGTTAAAGGAACTGGAGACTAAAACAGGAAGTTCTCTCTTAAAAATATTTGTTATAAAAATCTGTGTAATGTATTTACTGGGCAACAGATATTCCCCAATTCTTTGTTACAACCCTCTGAACCAAGTCAAAGACCTCTTGCTCTCATGAAATATTACTACTCTAAAAAAAAAAAGTATGAACTTACACGGGTAATTTGCAATCTCAGGTTTAGCATGAGAAATCTTGCTTAACAAGGATGATTTTCCTGCATTTGGAAACCTAAAAGGAAAGTCAGTATTTATCCATGAATAAACACATTATTTCTGTATATTTCATTATCAGATACACTATATTACCTTACTCAAGCTTATTGCACTCAACTAGTTTTTACAGTCTCAATTACTCACTTAAAAAAAGTCCAACAAAACAAACAACAAACCCCACATCATTACGCTTTTTTAAAAACTCAGATCTAAGTAATTTTCCTAAATCCAACAATGGTTCCCAAGAATGCAGGTAGGAGATGTATGCAAATACACGTGTAATAGACTTACGGGGAAATCTTTCCAAGTCACTCGGATGGAAATACAGCAGAAGCATCCAGATCTACCTGAATTCTCACACTACAGATAGTTTTGTAAATTCCATTTACATTCTAAAAACCTGTCATACAAACACATCTTATTGGTTGGATTTGCAGTCTTTTGGTATACAAAGTGGTTAATGAAACATTCTACAACTTAAGTACCAATTACATCTGTGCTACAGTTTAGCTAAGGTAGCCAAGCGTAGGTAACCTTTGTAAGAGCATCTATATGGGGGGAGAGGAGAAAAGCAAGAGAGAGACTTTATGCATATATACACACACACAGTTTTTAAGGCAATGAAGTTGTATGGGGGATCCTGAAATTAGGACTGACTGGATTTGTTACCATGTAAACCAAAAACTATACCAGTGAAGCCCTAGAGTGGTCTGGGAAGCTGACTGTTGTAACCTTTTCCCTTTACAAGGGATACCTATACCTGCATACTACAGCACAAATGTTCCTTGAGGGACACAGTAGCTTACACAAAAGCTTCTTCGTGGGATACAGCTACCCAATGAACAGGAAAATTAAATTAAAACTAAAGTTATAACCCATGCTTATTTTAAAGATTAATCTGAGCTGCAAAAGACACAATAGCCTTGATCTATGTAAAACCTGAAGTTAATGCTGACACCAAAGGGTAGACTACAGTCCTTATTTAGAGCACCTGCTCCATATAGGACACCACACAAGACTTGGATTCCAGTGAAATTCAGTTAGTTATTTAGCACACTTCAGTGCAAAGGAGATCAAAGAAAACTGTGTCTACAGACAACTGAACACTGGTCACAAGATACAAAGCCATGTATCACACAGGAAGCCATATATAGTCCCCACTTGACTATGTGCATCATAATGACCTGTTAACAGGGACAACTAATATAAGCATGAGCTAATGAAAAACAAGACTAGTATTACATCAAGAAGCTTTATAAAGGGGTCATACACTGGGCTTGCTTAAAAGAGAGAGACACAATGACTCTTGTTATAAAAGGAAAACCTTTGAGAGTAGTTTTAATGCACTCCGATGTTGAAAGGTGCCTTGAAGACATTAGAGAAAGTTACTCCGGTCATCTCATATAAGTATTTTGTTTCCACTGAGGTACAATATGTTCTTTGAAGTTTAAATTGCAACCTACACCACACATCACAACCTGTACCCAAATGTGATAGGCCTTTCTCGAGTCTGTATGTTTTTTACCCCATCTAATAGCAAACCACTTGCAAATCTAGTGAAGTAAAATAACCTGCACAAAGAGATCAAAGTACAACCACAAACTATCATAGGCTGATTCATACTCTCAACAAGAAAATAATGTGATTCAATAATCAATTGATAATGACTCTTTTAATGCATTTTAAAGGGAAACTGTGAGCTAAAAAACAAGCCAAAATGTAAGATTAAAGAAGCACCAGTGTCATAAAACTCCTTTATTTTCACACACTCTACAGCAAGAAAAAAATTATTTGTAATGTAATTACTGAAGAACACCTGAAAATTATATAACTTTAGAGAAATCTGATATTAACAGAATTATTTCTAATAAGCAAAAAAAGATAAAAATGTAGGTAGAAAACTATATTGTCTTCAAGTTTCCATTCTTTGGTATACCAGTTAAGACTTTTTCCACCTAAAACCTTTTGTCATTTTGCATTTTCTACAGTTTTTATGACTAATGACCATGGGGTAGGAGAGGAAGGGGAGGCAGTAGACTCTGCATAGACCAACAGTTTGAAAGTTGTAGTTTGTTGCTAGCTTTCTTGAAATAAAAATTTATCTGCATTGCTGTAAAGCAGCAATATTGAAATGCAAGTCCCACTTCTAGTTTGTAATTACCTCCTTACAATGTTCCAAGCTGTTTATTTGACAGTAGGTTATGTAGCCTTTGAAACTCTTTGAAACTACTACCAAAGGGATCCACTTGTACCAGTACCATAAAGTCAAAGGTGGAAAAAGGATAGTGTTCATGGCTCTGTTAGGCACCTCCTACTTACTTCATCAATATTAGCTAACAGTATTTTGATAATCACCACAACTGCTAAATTCATGTATATTAACAATTATGTGTTACCCTGATTCATGAAGCCCTTCATCCACAAAAGCGAAACCAATACTTTCCAAATTTTAAAATTAATTTAAAGAGGTTTAAACTGATTTTTGCACACTGCAAGTAATTTCAGTGGCAATGCAAGTGTATGGTAATGCTCATCCTCCAATGCCTCAAATTTATCTTAAATTCCTTTGGAAATTTACTACTTCATTTGCTAATGTCAGTTCTCAAACTCCAGAACTTACCCAACTAAGCCAACATCTGCTATAAGTTTCAAATCAAGACGAACAACTCTCCTCTGACCTTTGCAAGGAATGAAGTTTGTGGCCAAAGAGCCTCCAAGACCCCCACGAGCTGCTAGGAATCTCTCTCCCGCTGCATTAAGCTCTCCTGAAAATAAATTAACTAGTGAAAAAGCACATCTCCTGCAGCAGATCAGTTGTGACTTTCCACTTCAATACATCTTCAATGAAGCCAGAATTTCCTGTATGCCTTCCTTCAAAAGCAGTGCACTCACAGTTATGGGAATTTTCTTTCTTTGGAAACAAATGAAAGCAATCACACTCCCGTATTCCTCTGTTAAGAGAAGTGTTAAGTGCAGGCAGGCACTAATGTGTATTAAGAATGGCCAAGATGGTAGTTCTGAAGCCTCCAATACTTGGATTCAAGAATGCAAGGCAAAATCTGCATGGATACATGTTGTTGTGGCATCAGCAAACTCCATATTTTTTCATTAAGATGCAGGCAGTATTATCTCCCTTAGAATAATTTTTTAAGAGTAAAAATGCAATATTGAGCATACAAGTCCAGAATATCTTTATACGCTGACATGCCAACATCATGAACAGTTCTTGCATATATCCAATTTTTTAAAACAGCCAAATCAGAGTAATTTGTGAACTCAGTTTGAACTCTGGAGAGTATGAGAATAAAAACTCTGAGAAACTACAGAGGAACCACTGAGAACTATTCCAAGAGCACTGTACTGAAAGAAATCCTCCTGGCTACTACCAAGTACCGCCACTTAAAAAAGAGTTAAAAAATGGTCAAGTAGTTTAGATAACCTGAAATGTTGACACTCAGCAAGGACCTTTATCTTTTAAGCAATATCATAATTCAGGAAAGCTTCAGGGACAGTGACCTGAGTTTATGGACACATCATTTATATAAGGTCATTATTGATTCCATGGGAGGATCGAGTACGGCTTCCAGCGTTTAACACTTGTTTGCAAGGGCTATTTTCTTTCTGCTGCATATAGTGATACAAACTGCCTACTGCTAATTTTTGGAAGGGGCTGATTTTCCAACAATTTCTATGGCATTTTTTTTGTCAACTCCGTGTCCAAACAAGGAAAAACACACACATATTTTACATTTGTAACCTCAAAACATCCTAGTGCTAGAAGTCTGCTGGATCCTATCAGTATCTACTAGACACAGTAAAACAAAGCAGAAGTTCTTACCAATCTGCTTGCCATCATCACAAAGCACTGAAATTCCCGGAGGCACATGAACTTCACAATCTTTACCTTTATCACCTTTCAGTGCTTTAACACTGGAAGAAATTAAACCAGGGTTAGCAACCTAAGCTGACATTTTGCTTTCTGGAAAAAGTGTACGTAACAACAATTTTACCTAACAAACTCGTTACCTGCTGTTGGCTCCTGGTCCGGCTACAAATCGCTTCTGGGGATACCTTTCCTTAATACTCTTCAGGGTCGTTCTTTCTCGGGCCACGAACCAGACATCACCACCTCTCCCTCCTTCCCCACCTAGGCGAGGATAACCCATTCCACCAGTTCCTCCTCTTACATAGACCCGCAAATCGTCTATAAAGTTGCCATACTAAAAAAGCCAGTAAGTTTCAGATCAGTGTTAGTTCCAGATCAGTATTACTCTCTGTGTACATTTCGCATTGTAGCCAGCAGCTAAACCGCTTAGTTTTCTCTGACGGCGATAACGTGAACGTTCAGACAACAGCGTGTAACCCTCCACCGTATTTTTAGCAGGACTTGTGTTTGCTGTTCCTCCCCCTCCCTCAGGGCCCGCCCGCCCAGCCCGCAGAGCCCCAGGCAGGGACGGGGCTCTGCCCCGCGCTGGGCCCGGCGCTCACGGAGACACGTCCCGCCGTGCGGTGCCT